TTCTTTTGGTGGTGCGATGATGCTGGGCTTTTTAGCCGGTATCTCTAGTTCTTCTTGGCTTATTTCTGCGGCAATAGTGGCTATTTCTTTTCTACCATTGTCGGCTTGTGCTTTGGCTTCAATTTGGATTGCCTGAACATCGCAGTCAAAAGCGCGCTTCAAATCACTTCGAAGAAAAAGGACACCGTTAGGTCCTGGCATCTTAAGCAACAGGTACGGATAATGCGGTATCGCCATGAATTTTGCTAGTGCTGGGCGCTCAAGGATTGCGTGGTATGATGAATCAAAGTCTGCAACCTCAAACTTGATGAACTCTGTACGGTAGTTCGAGGGAGTTCCAAAAGTAGCTGGTAGAGTAATTTGTCCAAGTGGCATGGCTTCCTTGCCGGGTACTATGCCATAAAAAGGTGTACTTGTTGGTGTAATCATCCCGGTGAGTTGTAGTCCCATCTTCCTTAGCGTTTCTGAAAAGATGATGTTGAGTCCAGCTCCCCCGTCGATTAGTACTTTGGTGACAGTCATACCGGCAATAGTTGGATCTAGAACCAGTGGGTAATGGCCTGCGTTTCCTACGCTAGTCCATTGGTCTTCTCTTGAAAACTGGATTGGATACTATGACCAATTGAGATATCTTGGAGTAGCCGGCTCCGCTGCCATGATGGTTCGTAGAGCTAACTTTTCTTGATGCTTGCTTCTGGAATCTAGGGCCCCAGCGAAGATCACTGCTACCGTCCCCCTGGATTTTTGGAATCCCTTGTCTTCATGGTTGTCTTCTTTTTTTTCTAACTGTCTTCTTTAGTGTTCTCCTTACTATCTTTCCTTGTGTATCGTTCGTTGAAGGTGTAGCAATTTCCGATGGTGTGCTTTCCATTGGGGTGCAAGATGCAATGCATGTTTTCAATGTCGTCATACCTTATGGGTTTTGAAAACTTCTTTGATTTGTCAGCCATCGCTACTGTGTTGTCTGGTCCATGTTTTCTTTCCTAATGTCTGTTGTTTCGATGATTTTGCTTGTCCGGGTTGTCTCGATTGTTTTTATCTAGGAACCTTTCTCGTGTCTTCTCTTCTGTAGTAATCATCTTTTCTACTGTTCATCTAAATTCTTCATTGTTTCTCGGGGTTTCTTTGCAGAAGTCCTGAAATTGTCACCTAGCCATGATTCCGTGAGAGAAAGCTTCGATTACTTCTCGTTCGGTGATGTCATGTACTTGAGCACGTAGTTCGCCAAATTGTCGATAGTAATCTCTGAGACTTTCACCTCCTTTCTGCTCGAGTCCTTTTAATTCTGCGTGGGTGATTGGGTGTGTAATGATACCCGCGAAATTTTCACAGAAAGCTCTTTGCAAGTCCACCCAATTTCTGATTGATCCTGGATTCAATTTGTCGAACCATTGGAGGGGCATGATTTCGAGGGCCATGGGAAAGAACAGGGTCTTGATATCATCGTCTCCTTCGGCTAGTTCAATCGATTGTGAGTATATCCTGAGCCACTGCCTTGGTTCAGTCTTGCCATCATACTTAGAGTGGTTGGACGGCTTGAACTTGTGAGGTAGTCGTATTGAAGCAAGTATGTTTGCAAAACAGGGGAATCTATCGTGCGTTCTGGCTTATTTGTATTCTGATTCGGCTCCTCCTTCTAGACAATTGTTGTTTTGATGAGAGTAGTTCTACGAGGTTGTCTGAGCAGGTGTTTTACTTCTGGTCTTTCTTGGTTGTTCGGCTCGGTAGTTTTGGCTATGGTCCCTTCTACTTTCTCTGTTATGACTTCTACTTGGTCTAAGTCTCTCGAAAGCGGACTTCCTTTGATTTTGATCTTCTTGCCTATGAGACGTTGACCTGGTGGGTAGTCTTGAGTGGGTCCTTCCGTCGTGCGTCCTCAGGGCTGCTGACCGGAGAAAGTCCCGGAGCTGTTCTTGTTTTTCACTGGGATGTGAAGTCGCTCTGAGTACTTCTAGTGCTTCTCTGATCTTATCGTAGGGTGTATTTGCCTTGCGCCTTTCTTCAACTTCTCGTTCTGATTTTCTTCTATTGTACTCGGCCAGTTCTGACTCATATCTGATCCAAGCTTCCTTGCGCTGCCTAGCATGGTTTTAGCGTCCTTGTTTTGACTTGTTTTTTCTTTCTCTGGCTTGCTTCTGAGTCTCGGTCTCACCATCGTCGCCCTAGACGAAGGGTGATATGTTGGATTTCGATTCATCTGATGACCTGACATCGAGCGCTTCTGGGGGGACCAATGGTGATCGAGGGCGGCGAACCATGAGTACTTCCCGTGCGTGAACTGTTCTGTTATCGGCGTTAGTTTCCACACTGTCGGAGTTGCTGATAATTTTAGTAGAGGCTTCGAGGTCGTAGATCGAGTCTCCTTCTTGGTAGGGTAGAATTGCTATTGTTGTCGTGTCGACCAGTCGGGTACTGCTATCCTCAGGAACAGAGCCTGGCCAGTGGACGATGCAGTCTTGAGATGTTATAGTTAGTACGAGACCTTCCTGAGCTCCCTTCAGTGGCATTCTAAGCACCGGATCGAGGAATCCTTCAGGCCGTGTCTGGTAAGATTTTGCCATGTTGTGGAGTCCGAATGGAAAATGACCTAACTTCTTAGAAAGACTCTAAGTGTACTCCGAGTTGTATTCTAGATAGGCCAAAGCCACGTTCTTAAGCCCCATCGGAAAAGAACTCGGTTTCCCGGAAGAACTCGGGTAAGACTCCACTTTGGATGCGGAACCTGAGTTTAAATCGGATGCGCAAAGTCACGAAATCTTAATCGAATCGAACATCTCGAGCTACGTGAATCTTCCAGTGAGTTGACATATCGTAGTCGCCGAAATAGAATAGTCTTCATGGTGATTCGAATCTTCGAGGAGACGACTTTTGAGCTTGCCACTGTCGTCCGCCTTGCAGATCCATGAGCCGAAGATGAAGGTTGATCCCCTCGAGAAGATCATGTTGTCGAGGTCCATCAAGCTCTCGGATGCAAATTCGCCGAAATCCCCTAGCTGGCGCGTCAGCTGTGGATGTTTGACCACCGATAGCCTGCCACGGGGGTCCCCGGGGCACTATGTTTGGGCTTCAGCGTATGCGGAACTCGACGGTGAACGCAAGAGATAGTCGATTTATCCTGGTTCGGACCCTCGATCGCTGATCGAGTAATAGCCCTACGTCCAGTCGGCGTTAGCCCTTGTGTTGGATTAATTGTCTGGTGTTGTATCGTCAGTTGTCCTAAAAGTCGTCATCCTTCCGTCTCTAGGAACCCTGTCCTCCTTTATATAGTCAGAAGGTCAGAATCCTAGTCGGTTTACAATGAGAGTTCCTAGTAGGATTATAGAATAATACTACTACTAAGATTACATGGGAAGAATCCTAGTTAGACTAGATCTTCTTCTTTCCTTGCGGGGTATCCCGTGGGTCCCGCACCGACAATAAGGTCTCACTAAAGTTTGGAAAACATAAATAGCAAATCCATGTCATGCCCACTGACAATGAACCTTCATCTTCCCCCAACTTAATTTTAGTAATTTAAGCATCAAGTATTATGTTTGCAGTACTAACAACTACGAGCACACACTTGATTAGCAATCAAATAGTACAAGTATCATCATAAGCAACATCCATGTTCCATAATATTACTGTGATGACGGTCAAGGATCATGCGGCGTGATGATTCGAATCAATTTACATCCACCTGAGTAAACCTAATCATACGAACATGCATATCTGAGGTCACACGTGGCAACCTTTCGCTAATTTACTGTGAGGATCCTCCAATTGACCACACTAAATCATGTTGTCATCTTTTGATCAGCATCCGATTTAACATGATTAATCCGGCCGTCCCTAGAATTATACCATCTGTGCTGCATACACTACGTGCATCTCTCAGGACCCATTGCAAGGCATGCATAGCTCAAACAAATTGTAGTTGACATGAAAGGTAGTTAACACCACACGCTGTACACCATCATTAAGATGACGAGTTTAATTAACAAGACATCACATGGAACATGCCATATCCACAGGCTATTCCTCTCACACGAGCCATGGGCCTGTTCACTTGAAGTTATCAGCCGGCTTATCGGCTAGAATCTACAGTATTTTTCTCTCACAACAAAACAGCTTCAGCCAGCTTTAATACCAACCGAACAGGCCCATCTCTCATGCAGTTCCACGCGCCAAGATAAGTATTTAGATGACTCCTTTTAATTTTGTGCAAAAAATACCCTTGCTTGCCTGTGAGCTATAGGCAATGATTTTTTGCAAAAAAAAAATTATAATTTTGAATCTAGAAGTATTATTATTTACTCCTATGAGATATCATTGATGAGAAGATTACCTCATGGTAGTTCATCCGTTTAGGGATGATAAGCATATTTTGATCATGAAAAACTCAAATAAAATAAAATTTGCACAATGATTTCTGTTATTATATTGTTATTTACTAAGATTCAATATAATCTCAGAGAAATTTTCAATACAAATCCATGGATACAAGTTCAATGTTCTAAACTTACATATATAATTTTAATAATTGTTAGTAAAATTTATATAAGTGACTTTTCTTATTTGAAATATGGTATCATTCCAATACATATTTTTTATCTTTAGAAAGACCATTAAAAAAACAGGAAACATTTGGAAGACCATTGTGAACAAGAAACTAGAAAACACGTATTAAATCCGAGAACCTAGCAGATCGTCGTTCACTTTTCCGTTTTCCGGCCGGTACCCACGCCCACGTCGCCCCCTTCCCATCTACATCTACCCTTTCCCTGCTGCCGCCGCCGCGACCTCCTCTCCTCTGCTCTTCCCTCCCCTATCGTGATGTCGCCACCCTGCCGCTCCATAAAGCTCCGCGGCCGCAAGCTGTGGCCTCACCATTTCCACTACGGCGTCGCCCTCCCTACCTGCTCGCGCTAACAACTAGCCGCCGGCCCACTTTCTTCTTTTCGTAGAACACTTGGTGTGCTCCTCCCTCCCTTTCTTCTTTGCTCGATAAATCTATCTAGATGGTCAACACCTCCTTGGGAACGGCCGCGCGCGCCGGCGGCGGGGGAGGCCCCTGCTTCAAGCTGTTGGCGTCGCTCAACCACCGCTTGGCGACAGGTTGCGCATCCGACGCTGTGGATGCAAGAAATCACGAAAAGCCCAGGAATTCCGAGCGTATGGCTGCTTCGTGCCAAGAACCCGAGGTGGTTGTTGTGGCCGCCCTAGCATGTTCTCCTCCTCCTCCTCTGAGGGATCAAGAACCGGTGAATAACACACATGGGTGCGACTTCAATGGCGAGATGATCTGGGATTCCAAGAAGCAACGCTCGTCCATCGCTGCAGCTCGTGAGCATGGCAATGCGATTGCTGAGGTGAAGAGGGCTGCGGCTGCTGCCACGTCGTCCCCAATTGCACAGGTGAAGAGGGCTGCCGCTGCTGAAACTGCTGCCACGTCGTCCCCGATTGTGCAAGAACCGAAAGGCCACGCTCCGTGGGGGTGCACTGGTGTGGCCCTGGATGAGAAGAAAGAAGAAAAGCTCCGGCCTTGCATGTTCGCGGCCCCTGTTTGTGGCTTGGATGGTCTGCACGGAGATTGGGAGGTTACTGCCCCGAACATTGCATTGCGGTCTTGCCGACATGTGGATCGTGATCAGCGCCATAGCGCTGAGGGAGGAATGCTGGCTGATCAAGAGGAGCCGCCCTTGCCCTTCCACCATGCTTGTTTGTGAGGGCAGCAACAGAATAATGCCATAAGCTCAGTCCACAGAAATCCAGGAACCGACAAGTAGGAGCAACCCTGTGCAAGAAGCAAAGGCTGCTGGTCAGCATGGTCGCGAGACTGCCAATTCTTCTGGTCGTTGTAATACTCCAATGCGACCTTTCATGAGCTTGAGCCACGGCCTTCAATTCTTGGGCGTGACCGATGTGACACCAGTTCTTGCCAGGACGCTAACTGCCACAGATTGCCGCTTGGGCCAGTCCCGCGTGCAGTTCTCACCTCGGGAGGTCATTGATTCACCGTTGTTCAGCATTCTTACAACAGATGAGCATAGATCTGTGCATCAATGGGACGGTCAGAAGGGACTGGAGTTGGAGGCCATTGATCGACATGGCTATTCCTACAACATGAGGTTCAAGTATGTCTATAGCGCCAGGCAATACCGCCTTATGCAAGCATGGGTACCTTTCTTGAGACAGAATGGTGTGCGCCAGGGGGATCTCGTCGAGGTTGGGGCTTTCCGTGTTGATGGGAAGCCTGTGCTAACGTTGTTGAACTATGCAACAGAGGGGTGGATTACTGAAGAGATAGAGGCAGCAAAAGGCTTGTTGATACTGTCAGATTGCAACAATGGAACAAAGTCGTAGAAATTATGTCCAGGAAATTGCATCGCGGATGATGTAGTTAAGTAGGTACATTTATATCTAGGATATTTAGGTGATAAACTTTTCTAGTTCTGGTTTGTGTGCTAGGTTGCTGTCATGCTGCAGGAGTTTGTTATCTCTTAGTTGTGATTCTTTGTAGGATTTACTATCAACATACTTCAAGATGCTAGTATACACAATAGCTTGTTCAATTCTGTAGCCTTGAGTGCATTGTAAGTATATTTTTTCTTATATAATCATAGGAAAACAAAAAAAGGCAGAATTTACCTTGTGATTATGGATACTGAAAATAGTTCTTGCTACTTATTCTCCCTGTCATTTTCTGCACGTGACACAAGTTATGCTTCAATATGATGTGCACTGATATGGGTTGCTTATTACTTTTGGGGCTCCCATTCCGATTCTGGCTGGAATTCTGTCACATTGTCAGGTAGTTCTTCAATTATTGTTGTGTGCACTAATTATAATGATTATGCACATGAATGTTTATATCAAGGTTTAATTATCTACCTTGTTTCTACAAGCCCTAAAATTTTAGTTGCTAGTTAAATCATGGAGTCTTAGTTTGCTTGTAATATTGTGAACAATAAAAAAAAATTGCTTCTGCTATAAGCCCTGTTCGTTTGGGCTTGTTTAGATAAACCAGAGTTGCTGCAGTCTGCACCAAATCGTGAATATGGGATAAGTTGCATGACTTTTAGATAGAACTGTCCTTTTTATACCTTTTTTGGTGCTTTGGAGTTATAAATTATAATAATGTACTACAAAACCGCCCATGAATGATCCTTTATGATCTGAAAAGTTTTTCCTCTAAGCACACATAATGTTATCAAGAACGATTCATTTACTCCTTCCTAAATATCTACTGTTTTGAGGATCTTTACCTTGGTTCTTCTGTTGATTCATTTGTCATCGCCATGTATTGTATGGTTGCATATATTTGTATAGTATGGATTTCAAAGGTAAAGATGCCAAGTAGATAGACATAAGTACATCTGGAACCTGAAGAGAACGAAGGGAAGATGGGAATGGAGTAGGGAAGAAATGGGTAAGACTAAGAGGAGATTCAACTTTAGATATCTCTTTGAGCTGCTCCAGCTTCTAGGAAAGGCAGGAAAGACGTCGATAAGCCTTTTAGCTAGCCTGGCTGTTTCCATGACCTTTTTATTTCTCAATCATGCTGATGCACTCATGATGTTCTGATTTCAAGTGCAGATTTCTCGTCGGATCATAATTCAGGCTTAGCTGAAGCTGATCTGTTGAAGTAGCACCATGCTCTAGCAGAGCAATTTGCACTCCTGTTTGCCTTGCGTGCCTATATGCACAGAGATTTCGTCAGTTCTGTCTGCAGTGAACTCAGAGGTACATCGCCTTGGTTGAAGACTAATTAATCAGAAATGTCAAATGTTGTTGGTAGATTGAGGTGATAATGCTAATGAGTCATTGAACTTTGTTTTTCTATGTTTTGCAGAACATGAAAAGATGACAGAAACAACCCTTGTATATTTTATTCTTGGTTAAATTTTGCTACCTCTTTTTTCCTCTTGCTACAAGTTTAAGTTAGAGTAGCTCTGCTACGAAGTCTCTTGACTTGGCAAGAGGGAGGACAAGCTGTTGTGATAAATTTTCAAAAGGTTGATGATCTCAGACAGTGTCCGCATCCTACATCGATATACCAGTCACTGACCGAGGTAGATCCCCTTAAATGCTGAGATGACTCCAACACAACTGACCCTTTATATATAATTTTTTTTACATTTTCTATATATATTTTCCTGTTCTTCACACTTCATATATTAGTGGGTTTTCGTTATTCTATACCCAACAGGTTCAGATGGTCCTGATGTGTTTGTACCATAACTCTTCAGGGCGAGGTTATCTTGATTTCGGCGCTGAAATCAGATGTCCATCACGAATGTTTGCGCTTGTTTCTTTTCCCTCCCGGACAACTTGGGATAGGCTTAAAAATGGGCACAGTTTACAAAAGTTGTCAACCATACCTGAGACAGAATACAAGGTGAAGCCGAGAAAAAAAAATTACAAATGAGTTTGGCAGTTTCTCATGTGCTCTATCCAAGCATCCAGGGAAATGGAAATGGAGCCATCCATCCAGTAGCTTCCAATTTCCAAACGCACGGAGATACGGGTTTTTTGGCGTTGGAGACTGAGTGTCTTTTTTTTTGTTTTTTTTTTGGCTCACGACGAACATCACCGCCCGTGCACACTGCTTGCCGTGGATTGGTCTGCTCGTCGTAGCGGTGCCGTTGCCCACAGCCCACGCCATGAAGATGAAGGTCGCCACTGCTCGTGCTCGCTGGTGCTGAAGCCAGACGCAGTTGCCCGCGGGAGGCCGCCATAACGCTCGCTGGGGCCATATCTGGGCCACGCTGTGGTCTAAACCGGCGCGCTCGCCATGGTTGCCGTCTGCCTGGACCTCCGATCCCTCTACTCACGAGGTCAATCTCGGGAGCTTGCCGCAAGATCTATGAAAATCACGAGACGGTTTCTGAGCTGAGCTTACATATGTAGATGCATAAAAGAAAGTTGATATGATCCAAGCGCAAATTTAAGCAAGTTGGTAGGATTCGCTTCCTATATGCCTGAATAATCTGAGATTATTGGAATTTTGTCATTATCAAACTTGGGCTTCGTTTGTCATCCCACAAAAGAGATTTATCGGAATGTCATTATCAAACTGCACACGGAATCCATTCTCCACTTTTCTATTCAATTTTATCATTTTTAATTCCACCTAAACTTTTATTCCCATTTTACCCCTGTTTTCAAAAACGTTATCTCTACGTTCTACCTCTCGCACACACACATCTCTCGCCGCCGGCCACGCGTGGCTCCCCGAGACCGCTCCAGCCCTGATGCCGGAGCCTCACCGCCGGCCGCTGCCCGCAGAACCTCACCGGAGCCCGTTGCCCTCTACCAGAGCTCACGCGGACCTCGCTGCGACTTCCATCCGCGGCCGACGATTCCAGACGCCGCGATCACCTGCCCCACCCATGGCCACGCGGGCTGTCCTAACGCTGGCAGCACGGGCGCCGCCGCGAGCGTCCCTCCACAGCCCACAGACGCGTGAGCCGTACCCAACGCTGGCAGCGCGAGCACCCCTCCCCACCCCGCGGACGCGCGTGACGTCCTTGACGCTGGCAGCGTGGGTGCCACCGCTAGCGCCCCGCCCTACTCCCGCGGCCACACGGGCCATCCCGCACGCATGACCGCACCTTGCCCGCGGCGTCGGCGTTGAGGTTAGGCGGGCAATGGTGGGGTTCACTAGTGGAAACAAGGCCTTTGCCGAGTACAAACTGCTTTGCCGAGTGTCAAAAATCGGGCACTCGGCAAAGACCTTCTTTGTCGAGTGCCGCACTGGACAAAGAAATGCACTTGGCAAAAAAGGCCACTCGGCAAAGGACTTCTTTGCCGAGTGCCAGGCTCTCGGCAAAAGCACGGCACTCGGCATAGGCTGCCCCGCGTAACGGTGTTCGGCCACGTCCTTCTTTGCCGAGTGCTAGCTGTTAGGCACTCGACAAAGACTTTTTTTTAAATACTTTGCCGAGTGCCCCTAACACGGCGCTCGGCAAAGATTCTTTTTTTTTTTGAAATTTCTTTGCCGAGTGTCCCTGTGAAGGCACTCGGTAAAGAGGAAATTTCTAAAAAAAATTCAAAACCCTCTTTGCCGAGCGCCTCATTCTTGGCACTCGGCAAAGACCCCCTTTGCCAAGTGCCATGCCCGGCGCTCGGCAAAGTTTTTTTTTGTTTTTGGCCTCCAAATTTTTTGTGCAGCCCTTTTAAAGTACCAGGAACTCGTTAGAATTTGGGGATTTTTGTGGTTTTTTGATATACTTAGTTACTTTATTTCGTTTACTTGAATTTTTTTGAAAAATATAAATTTGAACTGCACGTGGTACGAATAATGGAATTTAATGATTCAAAAAATGATAGTCATGTTACTGAGTGTAGTGTGAGGCCGTATCCAGGAACGGACCCAAAATTTCAGACATCCTGTTCACGAAACATGACCGCGAACTTGCATGCTAAGTGTTTTTAAATTCTATAAAAAGCAAACAAAGTTCGAAAATCATGAAACTTGTTGAGATGTCGTGATATCGTTTGTGGAGGCTATGATAAAAATTTCAGAAGATTTCGTGCACGATGTCACGTACGATACTTACAGACCAGGACATCTCTACATGTGATCACATAAACTCCTTCGTGCCCGCGCGCCACAGCGACGCCAGGCCGCCCGCGCGCCCGCGCCGCGCGCCGCAGCCCCTCCCCGAGCCGCGCACCGCCGCTTGCCCCCACCCCCGCCCCCGCCAGCCACCGCCCCCGCGCCCGCATGTGGCCGAGCGTGGCCAGCTCGCCCACGCCGGCCTGCCAACGCCAGCGGGTGGAGGAAGGGAGGAGGAGAAGGAGGAGGAGGAGTAGGAGTCGGCTCTACCCCCAGTCGCGCACCGTGGACCGCCCGCCCCGACGCCGCCCGTGCCCAACCCCGTTCCCGACTCCGGTGACCCTGACCCCGACCCCGACGCCGCCTGCCCCTTCCCCCGGCGCCCGTCAGGTATGCCCTCTCTCTTGTTGTTGTCGTGGTAGTGATAGTTGTAGTAGTAGTGCTAGTGCTAGTAGTAGTATTAGAAGTAGTGGTAGTAGTAGTAGAACTAGTGGTAGTAGTAGTAGCAATAGTGGAAGAAGTAGTAGAAGTAGTGGTACTACTTGGATATATTCTTCTGCATGGATTGATATCCAAACTACATGGCTTCTCTTGTGACATATGTGCTTGTCGGCCATCGTGCCATTATTTTTTGCAGGTTTTGGAAACCTCACCGTGCAGGGGAGGTTCTGCCGATTTTTTTTAAATGACAGTTTTTTTGTTCCATTTTTGTAGAGAAGAGCCCGTCGGAGCCGAGTCGGAGTTCCCGTCGCCGTGCCGGTCTGCCTGCACCACGTCGCCTCGTCACTGCACCGACCCACCA